CCTTCTGATATAGAGATTATCCCATCCTAGCTTACCGCGGAGGGCGGTAGCGCTAGAATAGTAATCAGACGTAAGATAGAGGGAGTTATAATTACCACTTCTCAAGAGCAGAGAATCACGTACATTTTTTTACAGCACCATGAAGGTTTTTGTTCTTTAGCTTGTTAATGTCGACGTCGCTGCAATACTTGACCGAAAGGTTGCGTACGGTTGGACGAAATTCCAGCAACCACTCACCAGCGACGAAATAGTCTTGCTTATCTCGGCATCGCGAAACGCGAACAGAAAGGGGTTGAGTGCGCTGTTGCTGTACTGCATGCATTTGACAAATGCACCAACACGGCCTATATCCACCGGGGCCAAATCACAGGGGAAACAGAACGTGAACACGAGCACGCCTATCACGTGAGGGAGCCAGGTCACGAAAAACGCGCCACAGAACATTGCCAACGTCGTAGCTGTTCTTCGCTCGCGACGAATTTGACTTCTCAAGCTTCCTCTGGTTCGGTCCTGTTCAACTGCTGGTGCGGGCTCCACTGTGTTACGAACCAGCGACCTGGCGATCTTGAAAATTAGCACGTTTAACAAAGAAATGACAAGCAACGCCAAGAAAAACACTGTTAAAAGAACGTAGAAGGGATATTTCCCGCTGGCGCTTGGCGTTAGAGTGAAATTGAGGCAGGAAAGGGACAGAGACAATACCCACACCACGCCCAAAACACAGTAATAAAAGTTGAGGGGAAGACGCCGATGCAGGAATGGTTTCGAAATGGCCATGTACCTTTCCACTGTGACGGATACCAAATGGAAGACTGAGGCAGTGCCACTAAAAATATCCAGTGATATGTAGAACCTGATGAAGAGTGCACTGGAGCTCTCTGTCCTCAAATTCACAATGTACAAGGGAACAGCAATAGCGCCCACAAGCCAATCTGATAAGGCTAAACCGACTATGAACACATTTGCACTCGTCCGTAACCTGAAGTTTTTTATGTATGCGGCAATTGTCAGGGTGTTTCCCACCACAATGAAAACCATCAAGATTAATATGAAAGCGTCTCGAAGGATCTGCTCTCCTGTCGACGGCTCATACATCTTGCGCTGTTAGGCTCTGTGTATCGCATGTAAAGGTTGATACGTGATTGAATGTTACAGCAGGAAAGGCTTTTGCACACTAAGAAGGAATCATCATCTCGCTTGCTATTTATCTATTGAAAGCAATGCGGAAATTTAAAAGCCTGATAGAGTTTCCATACATTAAATTGGGAGAGATTGCTATATTTGCTAGCCATCACTCACGCCACTCGACGTTAAAGAGAGGTATTTAAGGGGGGTCGCACCCTTGCTCGGTGAAATATGTTGGCTTTGGTAAAAGGTACTGTCAACACGTATTTTTTTTAGAGTGCGATCTGAACAAAAATAGGCTATTTCGGTGAATTAGGATCAAAGAATCCGATGGGTATTTTTGGAAGAAGATTCTTGACAAATGGCCTAATGATAACAAATATGCATTAAAAATTGCCAAAATCTTGTTTTTGTAGAAGAAAGAAAAGCTCAAAGTCATTTAAAGCTATTTTCCAAAATACAATAGAAAGTGAATTATTTTTAGCATCGAAAGAAAATCAAAAAATGGATCGGCTGTAAACTCAATTGAGAAAAGTAGGTAGTATTCGAAAAGAACTTTCAAGTAAAAGAACGTGACCGCGTCGACGGCTGGCAGGAGTTCCTAATTACCCCCAATTAATCGGAAAATAGAAACACGCTAGGAACACATGTGAATATATTTCTTCGACAACTCATGCTCTAGATTGTAGTTTCTGGGGAGCACGAATGGCGTAGTGGTGTCAGTGAGCGCTCGCCTCCCACCAATGTCACTGTGGCCCGGTTTTTTCGATTCTGGTCCGGTGCCATATGTGGGTTGAGTTTGTTATTGGTTCTCGCCTTGCGTCGAGGGCTTTTCTCTGGGTACGTTCTCCGGTTTTCCTCCCTCCACAAAAACCAACGTCTCCAAGTTTGAATTCGACCAGGATAGAGGACCTGCATGAACACCAGGTAAGGCTGACGTGGCTTCCTCTCTATTTCTTTTAGGTTGAAGAACACTTAAGATTGTACAAAAAAGAAAAAGAAAACTCCGGAGGAAAAAGACATCTTCCCCTTGTCCCTTTCAAAGCACTGTCAGACGGTCAGTTTATTATCAAGAAAACCTTTATTAAATAATACTGAACTAAACACAAAGAACTAATTTGATCATTTACACGATAGCGGCGAATCTTTTTTGCGTACTGCAATCTGAAAACAGCTTAGCGGCCTGTCAATAAAATATAAAAAGTGCGCGATATATCGATATGTCATTTTACGACATCATTGTCAACTATGGACTTTCTCTATGATAATGATTTACTCTGTCATCAATTTTTTTCCCCGAGGAGTCTGAAATGTAATTTGCTTTCCCGTGGCTAAAAACGACGGGTGATGTAGCCGCTCTCGAAAGGTCTCACATGGATGGCTTGCTACCCTTTGAGAGAACAATAGAACAAACAACAGAAACAATGCACCTAGCCCTAAAACAATAACAGCTGCTAACAATGTTATGTTATTCATCACTTTACTGCGAGTTTTGCGATATGCCGTGAGCGAAAAGAAAACACATTATTCATACACGGCACGAATCACCAAACTTCTAAAGAACTTCTGAAAGGAAATTTGAAACCTTTTCACAAATATTTTTACCATTTTGAGGTACTTTAACAACACCCAGACACCTGAATTTTAATGAATATTCTTTTCGTTTTGCGCCCAACGGAACTTGAACTGATACATGTATGAATTCAGCTACTTTCAAGTTAAATTGTCTCCAGTAATTGTAAGGTAGATATCAAGTTTGTTTCCTTTCC